TGCAAACAACTCTCTGCATCTTCAAATTTCCCCATGTGCATGTATGCAATAGCCTGACCATTGAGTAACATGACTGTTGGAGTGTATTTGTCTGAAAGCTCTTGGAAAATGTAGTAGGCATCTTGATATTTCTCTCCTCCCTGTGTTAAAGAGAAAAACACCTTCATTGCAAAAATTCACAAGTTTAGTGTTGACTCTAAAGAGTGGAAAGGCAGATTTGAAGACACAAGTTAGAGGGCCTGACATAAAGCAAGAACACATTCTTCCATTCACTTACCACAGCAAGATTGAACCATGCAAGGGAAAGCTGTGTGAGAGTTGCATCATCATCTTGGTCCTGCAGAAGATTTATTTTATATTTTAGTAATGACAAACCCAAGATGACACTCCAAGCTCCTCCAAACCAGTTACAAAAATATTATCCAGATATTACACCAGTGCAGCACATGTAAACTTAAATTACTGGCCCCAAGGCAAAAAAAAATAACCATAAAGAAAACTCACTTGCATTCTTTTAAGTTCTTTCCTTTGAAACAAAATAATCAAAAGATTGGTTAATACACTTTCTTAAGATTTTTCCTTTTAAATTACATTGATGCATTCTAAAACTCAATGATGACCTGCAATTAAAATTCATACTCACTTGGCCAGATCAACTCTATCCATGCTGATGTAAATTTGTACTGAGAGCGCTGAGCTGGAAAAGAAAAAAGAAACACATTATACAAACATTTGAAGCTGCACACATTTGATATGTTACACACTTTAATGTAATTTTAAGCTAAAATGATTCCAATGGCTAGTGTGTAGGAATGTAGGTGGAATAAAGCAAATTAAAAAAAAAACAACAAATAAAACTGGTTCAAATTCATTTAGGTTTTGAAATATGTACCCAATGTATAGTCTTAGGAACTTGCCCATTTAACACTACAACAAAAAAGCAGACAAACACTAAAAATTTTTTCCTCACCATTCCAATGATTCAGACTGATGAAGGCATCGTAAAGCTGATTCGAAATTCTAATAAAGAAAACAAAAGTATTCCGAATTAGATCAAACACATCTGGATATGCAGATGTTCATGGACAGTCCTTGTAAAACATGTAGTGTGGAATTATATATAAAATATAAATTAATGTAATCATCTCTTTTAGTCCAATATGACCTCATCTTTCAGCATCCATACTTTACATGTACTCAGATTAAAGGTGACAAGACTGACAGTAATTAACCTTTCTACCCCTTTTAGGGGTGACTAACATCTAAACTCTTCTCACAGTATCACCCCTGAATCAAACATTAAAGTTTTAATAATAAAGGAAATATTGTAATTGCCAACTCAAGAAGCTTGATTGTTGGACAAATTCTCCTAGTACCTGTAAGTACCATAGGGAATGCATAGTGAACAGCATGGCGCACTAACATACTGATGTTAAGCTGCAAAAAGGTTAAAAGCACAAAACAATCTATGAGATCAGTCTGAAGAATTTGACAGAGGATATGTACCTGTTCATTGTAATAGATCGTAGCTGCCATTAACAGATCATAGTCATTGAGATCACTAGAGTTTAACTTCTTTTCAATGGACTTCAGGATTGATTCCCTAAATTGAACCAAAGCAAATTGTCAAATAAGTTTGAGTTAATTTGTACCACTGCAGTACCCACTTCTCTGGAGCAAAAAGCGTGCATTAATACCATCATTTTATTCATTATAAAATTGAATTAAAAGCATGCATCTGTAACAATTCTTAAATGTAACATATAGAGTACATACACGTGTTCCTCTACATAACTGAATTTGAGGTCTGTACTGTAAGTTACAGACCAGAAAAATGAAGTTCCATTACTTACAGTATGAACCAAAAAACAGGGTTAGTAAGATATTTGTTATATTTCTGCGTTCAAATAGGGGAGGGGGGGGGGTGGGGGTGGGAGTTTCAATTCAAACTTTTGAATTTTGTAAACCACACAGCGAAATATGGCCCACTAAATTGACCAATCATAGTGCATGGACTAACTAAGAGATGTAATGAACATAATTCATGTACAATATCAAATGTATAGCACTTAATGTAGAGAAGAACTTATCATAATGAATGAAAAATAATAAGATAGAACACAAGAAAAGATTGTTGAGGTTTATGTCTGCTTGTATTCTGAGGTTTGCAGAACTAAACTACACTGCACAGTAGATCTTCTACATTTAGAGAGACAAAGCAATGGTAATTTCGGTTCTAAAACAAAATGGCTTTAGCAAAAGTGTGCCACCTGGAATACTGTAGATACTTGTTTGTAGCCAAGAATTTCACCATCATGATTGTCTCATTTCATCAGATAAATAATTAATTTCTACAAGGGGAGAGGGGCAGTTTGGAATAAAACACTATCATTAATGCTCATCACAAATTCTTGGAGAGCTAATTAATATGAATGATCAGTAGCGAGTCTCTTATTATAATCCACAACACTTTTCAAGAATTTTCTCTCATCATGAAAATTTGAATTGATTGTGCAAGAACTCCTATGAAATCTGCAATCAGTAGTGTGAATTCTCACAATACACTAACCACAAAAGCCTTGGTATAACAGGAAGTTAGGGGATGGACACATAATATAAATTACACCAGTAACTCTTTAACCCCCAGAAGTGATTTACATGTAACTTCTCCCTATAATATCCATACATTCTCCAGGAAACAGGTGGTGAGAGTACTCAAACTTATCGGGTGGGAGTTTTTTTTATCATCAAAATCCAAATTCTTGTAACTTTTTAACAAGGAGATGTGTACATGAAGCAGCTAAAGGAAAGAATTAATGATTTGATCTTGGGAGTCAAATGGTTATTATAAATACAAGTAATAGCTGGGAAGTCAAAGTAATTGTACCTTTTGCTTGGATTCTGATGATATTCAGCTAGCATTCTGACAGGCTGTACTTCTGCTGGAGAAGCTGATGTCACCTCATCTAAGACAACTCTATGCTTACCCTAATTCAGAGAAATGTATGGAAGGTTCTGAAACATCACACGAGCTGGAACAAAATTCTTTTAAAAACATGTACACAAGCGCTGCATTGAGAAACAGATGTTTAAGTTAGTGGGGCTTATTTTGCTTCAGTAACATGAAGTAACAAGGAATATTGAAACTTCCCAATAGAAGGAATGCCACTTCATCCCAGGGTTACAAATATACCTTGAGTACATCATTTGTTCATACCCTTTAACTCCCAGAAGTGATTAACATGTAACAGCATTATACATTATACATTATCCAGCAAACAGGTAGTGAGATTACCCAAACTTATCAGGTACAAAATATTATCTTGATGGAACACTCAATTCTTGTAGCCAATTCACAAGGAAATGGATAGAAGCTAGAGTAGAGAATTAACAATCAAATCTTGGGAGTTTGAGGGTTAATTCCCCATTCATAGAGGGATGGTAGTGTAAACATTAAAAGATGGGTAAATTAGTTTACGATACTTATTGAATAACAATATTATAATAGATAATAGCAAGGGGACTTCAGGAAACCACCAGCTTTTGTGAGGGAGGCTTCCAACAGTGCCAAAAAAAATTTAATAATTATATATCTTTCAATGAGTTTGCCTGACAATGTGCCATTACAAATTTATAGTTCTTGATGGAGTCTGCAAGAATAACATGCCTTGCCCAAGAAAAGAAAAAACACAATGGCCCAACTAGGGATAAAATCCAGACCATTTGGCAGACTTTTGCCAAATGGTCTAGGTTCAAAATACTCAGTGTGAACATGTGAGTTTGGTTGATTGAATATTGACCTGACCATGATCTCAAAGACACTTTTTTTACCATCTAAACAGTGAAAATAGTAGCTCATTATGAGTGGAAACATAAGGAGAGCTGAATGATTGATTGAACTTAAGATCAGACGTTTGGAAACAGCGACTTTAAACAAGTGTGTTGTCAGGTTAGAACTGTACTGGGTCCAGATGTCACGAAAACGTCGTAACGCTAAGAATTGAAAAGAAAAAGAGCCACTCACCTGAGCTGTATAAGCTCTGTACATATAAATATCTTTTTCAATGGCCAATTCGCGTGAAGAAGGCTGTTAAAGACAAATCAAACCGTATTTACGAATGTTGCATTTTAACCCATTTTTTTAACCCATGTCATTTTTTGACAATTTCATCGAAAAAGACTCAAACCAAAGCAACCAATCTGAAAACGCACGTGTAACTTCTGAGCTTCATTTATACAAAACTGGTAGTTGCCGATGTAAAAGGAATTCCTGATTTCGAAGAGTTCATCCACGTCACCACTAGCCGCCATATTGTTCTTCTTGAAGGTTTCGACTTGAGCCCAGGATCACCGTGTCATACTTAACCCGCATGGTTACCTGGGAGTGAGTCTCTTGGACTGTTTTTTCATTAACAGAGACACGCTCTAGTCTCCGACAAAAAATCAAGCAAACTTGTTTTTGTCTTGCTTTTCTGAATAAGCTTCTTTGAAAGGTAAACTATTGGGATTTTTCAGTGATACAAAGAAGATCAAAATTTACTTTCATGTAAGTTTTTCTCGCTGGCGGATGGTTTAAGAGAGGTCTGACACGAGTTAGGTGATGTCCGCTATAGGTCTGTGGGCTGACAGTAGATTTCTTTAAAGTAAAACTCTTGTAAACGCAAACGTCATGCACACCGACTTATCTGTTTCATTCTTAACTTGTTGAAGACGTTCACGAAAAAAATTTTCGTCATTCACATGGCTAAAAAAGTTATTCACTACAGGATGTTATCAAACATGCACTTTGTTCATCAAATCCCTCTAAGGATCAGCTGCAAATTGATTCGGGCAATCTAGTGACTTCACCGACGTCTTACCTAATCGGATGTTAGTTAAGAGCACTTTTCTATCTAAGAATAGATGTAATTAATAATTGTTGTTACAATGGAAAAATAAGTCTGCCCACTTTGAAAAATGTGGCGTGACGAGCAAGAAAGTTATAACCATGTATTACTGTGGTTGGCTTTAAGCTAAATCTAGCGGACGCAAATACTGCACCATCGTGAGGCTTGTGGCCTGTGCGAGTTACGTCTTCCCTTATGAGAAATTTCAGGCCCGGTTAGCAAGCTGAGGCGATTGCGACAGCGAAACGACACAGGTGCGATCTTTTTATTTTTTTATCACGATATACGTTCATCACGACTACGGTCGCCATAAGAGAGGCTGCCTTCTCGTACCAACATAAGGCAATTTTAACGAAACGAAGAGTGGTGAAGCGGATATTGAAACCATTCGAAGCAGTCTGGTTTATCTTAGCTTGACCGAGAGCGTTGTTTTTTACAGCAAAGCGAGGTGAGCAGAAAGCTTGAGTCACGGGCGAAAGGTAGAGCACCAAAAAAAGTTGTCTTCTACCAACGCGTTAATCAAGGAAGCCCCAGATGCACTTAGAGATTTTTTAATGGAAGCCTTACATAAGCTTTTAGTTATGATTCATTTTTATATGATTCAGCATGAAATATTAGATGGTCGCCAAATCCATATACTGCTTTTTGGTTTCATCGGGCATGGGGAATCCAGATATTTAATTTCAGATTTTTCCGACGAGACGTAACTTTAGTAGCAAAACTAAAAGGGTTTGATGTAAGAATCAGACGTTGTTAAGTCAAAGTAAGGCGATAAAGTAAATATTTATACAACTTGTGTAAATATTACGACCGGAGAAGAGAACGATGACGGAAATGGATAAACTAAAGAAGTACAGCGAAGTAAAAAACTAAGTATGTCTAAAAAATATGGGACCCGAGAGAATGTAAACATTAATTCCAAGTAAATTTTCACTTAAAATACAAAATTGGAATCTTAGTTTGTTATCCACGTGAAACTTTTTGAATTTTTTTGTAATATAGGCAGTATAATTCAAACCCTTCCAAATTCTATCGTTAAAAATTTATTTCGTCAATTCACAACTGTATTTATGCTCCAACGAAATTTAATCCCAACCTTAAAGATGACAAGATAGAGATCTGGATAATATATATATATATTATTTTTGCATCATTGTGTACGAGCTAAGTTAATCGATATTTTTTTAGATTAGATTTAAATTACATTCTGTCTATTATACTTTGCACGTTGCCCCCGAAGTGTTAAGGTAATGATAAAATTGTGATTACCAAATAGAGGAAAACTAGAAAACGAAGATGATATTCGCAATCGTTTGAATTAAAATTAATTGAATAATAGTGTAATCACGTACCAAGATGAATTACAGTAATTACATGGAAATGCTTTCAAGTTTCCTGTTTATTTACATATTTCTAAAGATCCGTAAATTCAATTTAAAACTCGATTTTTTTCTTGCACGAATGATTTTTAGCGATTGTTTTGGGGACAAATTTACAAGTGCACATGTGTAGTCTTTTATTGAAGGTATACTGCGCTCAGCAGAGTCATTTTTTTCTTAAAGAAGGTAAAGATGACTAGCGGAAACGCATGATATTGTCATGATTAGCGAGTCATGACGTTCGTTGAACACGTCGGCTTAAGATTTGAATCAAGGAAATTTCCTGGCAGATTAAAAATGTTTCGAAACTGGAAGAGGAAGCTTGCTTATGCATGTTTTGTTCATCCTTACAGAGCGAGGAGATCGTGAATCAAGTGAAGCTCATGAAAATTCTAAAAACCATGTGCGACTTCGAGTTTAACCGCTCAAGGGAACACTGAATTTTTGGACTAAAATGGCAAATCATTTGCACTTCCATAATATCTCCAACCGATCGCTATTAGAAAAGGAGAAATATCTGCTACAAGAGTTTGACATTGGACGATGCATCCCTTCCGTTTGTTTGATCTTTTTCTCGCTATTGACGAACTCCATTGTCGTCATTTCTTACTCTTTGAACCACAAGATGCGAACTACAACAAACACGATGGTTTTGAATCACTGCCTGGTGGACATTCTCCTTGCCCTATCGGATATTGCTTTTTATCTCACACCGGCTTATATTCCAAGGCTTACGAATAGCTACCTATTTTGCGAATTGTCGGTTTCTCTCGATAGCCTGCTCAAGGCGGCGTCGATCCTGAGCATGAGTGGAATAGCCATCGATAGATACATAAACCTGGTAAGACCTAGAAAAAAAATGACAAAAAAGCAAACTGTAGCGTCCTTGATATGGTGCTGGATGCAATCTACAATTGCAGCGATTCCGTGGCACGCAAACTCTCTCAAGCATCGATCTGAAAACTCTCTCAGTCAGCTGGCTCTAGTTTGTCACACTCTTCCTCGCCTATTTGAGGCGGGGATGCCGTCGACTGCCTTGTCCATTTTTCACAAGACTGTGTGCATAATGATTCCTCAAATGTACATCTATTACGTTTCATGCCGCGTTTTCAGCGCTCTGCGGCGAAGACGGAGGGTGAAAATAAGAGACAGTTTACTTAGAGTTACAACATGGCCCAATTCCGCAAATAGTTTTGTTGCACGTGCTCAGACAAAGTCGCCGATCACTGCTATGGTCCTGTTTCTGCTCTACGTACTTTGCACAGCACCGTTCGTTGTAGCGATAGTTTGGACGATGTTACCGGAAAATCAGGTCCTTTCCTCAGGAGTGGCTTTCACTGTATACTTCTTCTTTCGTCTCAAGGGATCTTTATTTCCGGTGCTGTATATTCTAAGAAACCGTGTAGTTTTAAATTCGCTGCAGAAATTTACGTGCTGCTCGAATTTCTCAAGATTTCAGAGCTGTGGAATCTCATTCGATAAGCGTAATTCAGGTATCAACTTCTCCGGGTGGAACTGTGTTACATCTAAACAAATAGCAACAAAGGGTTTTCGACGGCGGGAACCCATGCGGAAAGAATCAAGTGCCTTCTACTCAATCAAAAGTGCTAACGTAGAATTGAACTTCACTGATCTTAAAACTGCAACTGGAGATTCTTCATAAGGGAACGACTGCTTCCTGCCTTAAGGGAAATCATTACAACCTAGGAGTCACAGAAATAAGGTCTAATCCGTTTCCTATTAAAATTTAATTTCATGATTCTGATTGGAGGTATACAGTAGTGCCCAGAGCCGAAATTTAAAATCATAATTATTTCTTAGCTTGCTACCTTAAAGAGTGCTTTTTATCTCAACTCAATGCCATAGCAACTTAGAGTATTTCCTTATAGATGACCAGTTGAAAGCAAGAGTTTATAGTCTCTTGCTGGGAGTTAGTTTTGAGCCAGATTCCATAATCTTCTGATTTAGGGTACCAGTCTTGAGTTATTGCCTGGGGTGTGAGAGGTGTCACAATAAATTTTATCAGTTTACCCCTTTCCCCCACCCCATGGTATTCTGATGGGCCTCATTGTCAGTAAATTTTCTGTTAGCGAGACTGACCCCCACCTCCATTCCTTCTGAAAACCATGTGATCCCCAAAAACCCTCAAACCCACCACCCCTCTCCCCTCCGAATAGGTCAGTCTCGTCAGCTTCCCCAAAAAGAGTGCTTATTTCAGGCCTTTTCGTTGTTCTTAACGCAGAAAAAAAATTAATCACGTTTTGTTCAAGAAGTCATACACATTGTTCTTTCTATGGCAGTATCATGGCTGTATTTCATCTGACCGAAAAACAATTATTTCCATAATTCAAATTGGAAGTCCAAAACAGCAAGTTATTGGTGGCCATCTGTGAGTTACCCCTAACTGCTTTATAGTTAATTCATTGGCATCAGAAGCAATTAAAAAACAAAACAACATTACCTAATATCTCAACAACTTAGATGAAAAGGTAAATCCTCTTTCAGCAGCCACATTGTAGTGGTTGAATCCAGGGGATACATTTAACGTTTCGTGCAGATTTTCAAGTAAACTTTTTTTAAAATAGCAGTAAGCTTTTATCGTATTTTCACATCTAATCATTAGCATTTCTAACACAAAATGAATTTGGAAAAACGAAAGGTTTGTTTCATGGTTCAAACTACCACCTGTATTCAAAAATAGGAGCAAAGCTTATCTGATGATGATAACAGCTACAATTTAAGGCTCGAAAGTGAGCTGATGGAAAAAGTGAACTGAAACATCAACATGGCTGTTGAACATCATTCAGTTTTTAGTCAAAAATGTTGATCCTATATTTAAACTGCACGTTATCGAATCTTCTGTTTATACAATATCTCCAGCCGTTTAACGGCAACTTGTCACAGCGCTGGATGTTTCCTTGAGAAAACCTAATCATAAAGGTGAACATTGGTATTTAAACTCCTTTAAACCCTAATAAAAACAAACATAGTAGTCTACATGAAAAAAGTACGCGCTTCTGATTGACTGAAAACGAGTGCACTCTCATGCAACACGAGTGCAAATTACAAATAGCGCGCGTGCGTTTTCAAAATTTCGTCTGTCTTGACTTTCTGTGATGTTTTTTTAATGTAAATTATTAACAAGAAATAGCATGATTTCTCTTGCAATTTGGTGTAAAAAGCACTAGTAAATTTTTTAAAGACTACAAATTACACTTGCCCTATGGGCTAGTGCAATTTTGTTGTCTTTGAAAAATTCACTAGTGCTTCTTAACTTTAAATTACACTTGAAATTATGTTGTTACCTATACTAATGACCTCGTTGTCGCGGGTTAATTTGCACTTTAAACGCGGTTTCCAGTTAAAAATAGTCATCCGAGAAGGCGCTTTCAAACATGCCCGGGAACAAGCCATGGGCAACCAAAGCAGGGAAAATGCCAGCGTGTGACCGAAACAGACCCACTTCGCGCTCATCCGACGAGTAAATATCCTTATCTCCCAACACATGATCCAACAACGGCTGCAAAATGGGATACTGTTTTGAAATCTCTTCTGTCAAGTCTTTTAGCTTGGCTCCACTGGAATCCAAGATATTGAGAGCTCTCTTCGTGGTCTTCAGTAAGTCTGTCATGTTTGTGTTCATAACCTTGGAGCGCCTAAGTTCGTACATTATTTCCGAAGGTTCAAGATGGCGTCGGTCGCGGCGATGGGTAACCTCCTCGACGGCGGTTACCATCTTGGGGCCACTTAAAAGTTTCAAAAATTCATCAACGGCTCTAAATTAAGAAGAAAAAATAATGACTTAAAAGTATGACGACCATTAAAGTATGATTCTTTTTTTTGATCTTTACACAGGTACACATCATGCATGATTGCTATTTTGTACAAGGAGATCCTTAAAGGACAAAAATTCGTTGGTGGAGAAAGTGGTAGAAGGTTTTTTCCACTTTTTATTTAGAAATTTGACTAAAATAAAGCAATGATCTTTGCAGGTGAGCTGAAATTTAGGCAGAGAGCCTGAATTTTTCAGGCCTCTTTCTGTAGTGGTCCATTTTACAGTTGCGTGCTTCGTTGCCAAGCCTTGGAGCAGGAGTGAGGCTGAGTGTGACCTTTTTATGATACAGACCATCACGGTTTTCAAATGTATATTTCTTTGTTATCATGCTAGATACTAGATACTAGTCTCTATCACAACAAGGTCACCTTCAACCTCACTCCAAATCAAAAGCTTGGCAACTGAGCACACAACTGTAATATGGCCTATTGTTGGGTGTCCTGGCCAAACAGAATTTCTTTTTTTTCCTTTTTCTCTTTTTTTTTTAGAAATTTAACTAAAGTAAAGCAATGGTCTTTGCAGGTGAGCTGCAATTTAGGCAGAAAGCCTGAATGTTTTCAAGCTTCTTTTCTGCAATTGCTTCCATTGCGGCTCACCTGCAAGAATCATTGCTTTACTTGATTTTCATCTGCCGGGGAAATGCAATTTATTTCATTATGAATAAGAACTTTTACTAGTAAACTACCACCACAAAAAGGAAAATCAAAACCACAAAGCAAAAACTAGAAATACAGCTGCCTCTGAAGCAAACGAGCTTCAGGCAACTCGGTACGAAGCCAGGGGTATGTGATATCCTCAAATGCGAACCAAAACTTCTTTACCTTTGAAGTAGAAGCTTAACTGAAGGATGAGTCTGACAAGCTTCTTTGATCTCTGCGTCGCGTCTCTCATACCTTTCAACCCTTGATGACGGGCTACTACGTGCGCCTTCAGTGTTCAGGTGTTGCCCAAGCTGTGAAGAATAATTACGATCAGAGAGCAGACAAAGTATCACCACATACTATGATTGCATAGCAAACACATGATGTGAAAACCCAGACCTTTCTCTGCCAAAAAAATAAAAAAAAAATGATAATAAAAACATAACAAGCAATCCGATGCAAAATTTTGACTTAAGAAGGCGGAGTCTTAATATCAAGCTTTTCCCTATGAACATCCTATCATCCCTTAAATGGTTATATCATTTAACAGATGTAAGTGTTACCTCTTTAACCACCTCGAAAAGCCACATGGGATTATCGACGTTACTGATCAAGGAACAAACGAATTTGTGCAGGTATGAATCCTCGGAAGACTTTTGAGAGACACTCTGTGATTGTGCTGCAAATTAAATGAGTTCAAGATGCAAAAATAAATGGAAGACAATTCTTCTTGTAATTCGATCTACACGCACCACGTGACCGAAAATGTCCCAGCTAAAACTGAGGAATGTCTAGTGATATTCCCAAAGTGATATTCCCCAATTCTGAAACCTTCAGGCCAAAGTGTATTTAATACAGCCTCGCCTAAAAGAGAAGCTCCAGCTGTTTTAAAATAGCAAGAAGGACAACAACACCCAGAGTGACAGTCGATCGCAGGTTCTTAAGGGTTCCTATCAAGTTGTTGAAACGTTGACTTATTTAGTTTTTGTTTTAGTCAACACGTGCTTCAATAAAATTGTACAAAATCTAATTTAGAAGCACTGGGACATGGCTTCTTGAGTTTGTCTAACGTTAGCGCTGGTACATTCCGCTCAAGAATTTATCGAACTGAGAGCACAGTGTACATCCAATGTCTTCTACCCCTTGAACTAAAACAATAAAATCTAACAAAAGCATACCATCTTCCCAATGACTGCATCCTGGTTTGTCATCGGAAATTGCAATTGTTTTATCGACCTTCTTTCGAGGTTTGTCTAGAATTCGAATTTTTCTGGAAAATTTATGATATGTTTCTTGAGTTTCAGTGAGCCACGTTTTCTTTGCCACATAGCACACAAGCCTGTCAGTATAAAATAAGACAATACACCCTGTAACCAATTTGGACTTGATTCAATATCGGTTCATTAATAATAACAATAGTAATAATAATAATGATAATAATGACACTAAATACTAATAAAGACTATTGACTAGTAAAGACGTAAATAAATGCCACTATTTCATGACATTTTCACCGCGCGTAGTTATCCTAACATTTTTAATTTCACATGCCAAGATGGTTTGTCCCCAATTAGAAGCGATGCTAAATCACGTTGACTCGTAAATAACGTCATTAATATTATTAAAGTTACAGGGTTTATCGACATGGTGGTTTTCCTTTATTCCAAGGCTTTTTTTAGGAAGCAGGTTTATTTCATGGAGTCCATAAACGATTGTGGTTATGATAACAATAACACGATACTGATTTAAAATGTTATTAGACATAGGACTTACTATAAAAACTCTGATTGGTCGAGAGCCATAATAACCCAATATCTACTGCAGATAATATTGAGTTATCATTTCAAAATCTTCCTAAGTTCCAAGCACCTCGTCCGTGTTGTGTTCTCAAACCTTTGCAAACTCAGACAGGTGTCTTCTTTTGCAGATTGTTTAACAAATGTTTGATAAAACAATTAAATGAATTCGGTTTTCGCATGATATCATGAATTATTAAACCTCGTGTCTGTGTTTTCTGCCTAAGCCTTCGGCTTAGGTAGAAAACGATGTGATAACGATGATGATGTTAATGATGACGATGATTATGAGAGAGAGACTGGAATACCTGCAGAATACGGTGAGGTGCTCCTTGACTGGACAGCGGTGATAACGTGGATACCAATCATCTTCCCGTTCATCGGCTCTTTCTTTGATTTTCTCCAATCCCATCATTCCCAGATCAAACGCCACTTGCAGGTGCGGGTGTGGTTCTGAAGTCTTGTATGGATTCCTATTGTTCATAAGACCGTCACTGTCCTCATTGTCTGAGTCGTCTTCTATTTGTCCTTCATCACTGAAAAGCCTCCTCTGGGGTTTCGAAACAATCCACATTTTCGAATTATATTTAATATTTTAGAGACATTTTTTAGGTGTTTTTAGAAACTTTCCCTGCTCCCTATTTGCAGCCTATTGGCAGTCAATCACGCCATCCTGCTACTCCCAAGATTTGTTGTCAGTTGCCCCGGAGCTCGACTTCTTTGTTACACGTCTTAGATAAGCCTGCTTGTTGGCTTTTGAAAATGTGGACTGCGCGTTTTCCTTTTCCAGTTGATTTGGCTTGTCAATTTTTTAACTTGTATAAAACCGGTGACTACTGTTGCAGGCTTTTTGAAATAAGTGTTACAAAAATTTATCAATCAAGATTATCAATAGATTAAGTGCCTAATGCTCAAATAGAAAAAAGGTCCTTACCAGGCCTAATTTTCCCCTTGGACTCCACATGCGCCGGTTGATGTTCTCTTGCGTTGACAGCTTTTCTTTGAAGTGCTCAAACATACCTAGGCTCGCATCCATGAGAACTTCAAAGGGTAAAAAGGCTTCGCCTTCTGCTAGGGATTTCAGTCTTTGGCAGATCCAAGGAAGAA